ATCATGTGTGTGTCAGAGTCCATCATGTGTGCGTGTGTCAGAGTCCAGAGTTGAGGAGTCTGATGTCTTGTGGGATGAAGTTGTTCCACAGTCAGGCTGTGTTGCTCTGAATGCTGTGGTTCTTTCTCCCAGGAAAAAATGTGCATGTGATGGTGAGACAGGTCCTCCACAATGCTGAGGGCCGTCTGGATGCAGCGGCTGTTGAAAATGTCCATGAGAAATGGAAGAGACCCCGATGATCTTCTCAGCTGTCTTCACTCATTGTTCTCACACAGTTGTCATTTGTTTGAGCTTTATTTTCTACTTTGTGTTTCTGTCTGTCTGTCTTATTCAGAGCAGATGTTTTCCTCGAATCAAAATTTGAACAAACCTACGTTTACCACCACTGTGTCTGTGTAAACGGGGCCTGAAACAGAAGGTTTCTGAATCTAGGTCTGAGTGGAGATTTTCGGGGGAACCCCCCGCAGAGGTGTGGTTCGGGTCATTCTAGAGCAGGCATAGTTCTTGAATCGCGCTGCTCGTGGTGGCTGCATGTTGGAGCAGCTCTGTTACTTTCATTCTGAGATTTTGTTTTGGAAAACATTAATTCCTCTTTTTCTGGATGTAAACCACATGTTTTGGATGATTGTTTCCTCTGGTATCAGATGCTGTGCAGGTGGAAGGATTTTTACTGAAACCTTTTTATATTTGGACATATGTTATGATGCGTAACCATAACAAGTTGTTTTTTTTTACAACTGGGAGCAGCTGATTAACATCTCTAAAGCTCAAATAATTTTTCAACTACAGCCCTAAATCTCATATGAGTTGTAAAGGAGGCGCTGTTGATGCATTCCCATCTACTTGCCGACTGTGCTCGAGTGCCTGACCACACAGATCCTGGAACTAGCAGGAAACACTGCTCATGACAGCAGAAGGATGGGATCACCCCCCCCCCCCCCCCCAACACCAACACCAACAGCCAGTTGTCCGCAGTGACGAGGAGCTCTGCAGGATGCTGGGAGGAGTGGCCATCACTCTGGGAGGAGTTCTGCCCAGCATTTGGGTGGTCCTACAGCCTGGGGTAACCGAGAGGCCAGCCGAGTCTGGGTGGATGGATCGGACGGCATCTGCAGCCAGTTTCTTTGGATCCGCTGTGGGACGGACCTTTACAAGAGATCCTTTCTGCCTACAGCATCAGTA